GGGGAGGTGGGGGGTTAGGTGTGAGGGTGGATCTCCGCCACCTTTGGGGGAACTGGCCTGGCCCTTCCTTGACTTCCTTGCGGGGCCACTGCCCAGACCCGACTGGTGACCCATGAGCAGGGTGGATGGTGAGTGGGAGGAGTGACCGCCCCCCAACAGGTATGCCCCCCGAAAGAGGCCCCTGAAGTCACCACTTTAGAAAACAAGGCGATGTTTACGCGCTGCGTGACACAGTCCCCTTTCACACGTCCCACCCGTGACATTCATCAGACCTTTCACCTCCAACCTTATGTCATCTTTTCCAACCCGAGTCGCTGGCAGAATTTTTTTTTACCTCGAAGTGGAAGAAAAAAAAGGCAGAGCTGCCCAAAAAGGAATGAGGAAGTGAGCCTCCGGCGGCCCCGAGCGCGGGTGCCGGGCTTTCCGGCCGGCAACTTCTGAATTTCCACCTGCCCGCCCCTCGGTTTATAGCGCGGACACGTGAGGCCCCGCGGCCAGTGTCCCCGCCGCCCCGGCGCTACCCGGTGCTGTTTCTCCCTCCCCAGCCCCGGAGCAGAGCCGCAGGGTGAGTACCGGAGACGCCGGACTAGCCGGTCGCTGGCCAGAGGCGGTCACTGTGTTCTGGACACGGGACACGCGAGACTGTGGGGTAGCCTACGCGTTTGGGATAGGGATTCTGTGGGTGCTAGTTTTGTTTTATGTCAACGACGGGTCGCACCCTGAAATCAGTGTGCTCTCCTTTTGAGCTTGGACGAGAAAGTCCACGAAGCGGTTAGCACAGGCTTGACATAGGCGCCCGAGAGAGAGTTAGCCGTGGCGTGGCTTCGCTTCAGATGAGCGCTCCGCGGTTGGGGGTGGGTGAACGACGAGAGGGTTTGGCATGGGGACGACAGCGGGTTTCAGTAGCTCAGCGACAAGTGAGTTCAGGTGCCTGTAATAACACCTGGGAACATACAACTCACTTTAAATGCGACCTGTCTGCCTAAGGATTTCAAGCTTGGTGTTTTTGCAAAGTGGCATTGAAATGGACTTCTTATGTCTCCTCCTAACTCCTAACTCCCTCTGGTATGATCTCTCGCAGGCAGCGCTGAGGTTCCATGGAGCAGAATTCACCTCTGCGGAGCCGCCCCAGAGTCTAATGAAGTTAACAAGTAGCTGCCATGCGGTATGTACCGCACTTCCATTTACTGACTTCTATTTTCTAACGGCAGGAGTCCAAAAGTGCTTACCTAATTTGAATTTTTCTTCTTTTTTTAGTCAAAAACACTAAATGCCAATAATATGGAGACGTTAATCGAATGTCAGTCAGAGGTAAGAAAGCAATTTTTTTTAATATTTTATCTGCACAGTGAGAAGGTGGGAAAATTTTAAGTATCATTTAGATTAATGGTCAGAGTAGAAAACTGACATGTAAAATACAGGAAATATATTAATTGGGATCTTACATGATGCTCATCGATATTTAATAGTATTTAATATTTCTAAAAACTAGAAAAACTACAGATTCTAAAGATTAATTTTAATATGGGTAAAATGCTCTATGTACTTTGTGGGGAAAGAAAAAATCTTTAATTAAAATGAATGTTTGTAGGGTGATATCAAGAAACATACTATTTTAACTTTTTGTTTATTACTATCTTAACTGTTTGTAGGGAGATATCAAGAAACATCCTCTGTTGGCATCATGTGAGAGTGAAGAGAGTATTTGCCAGCTAATTGGTGAGTTTTGAAAACATTGGTCTTTTATGTGTCAACGGCGAATGTTCTTGGTTTACAAAACCACAGTCCTGTACTAGGAATTTGTTTTTATAACTCTTCTTTTAAAGACCACAGAACATTAACACTTTGATGGCAAGGTTTCGCCAGCAGCCTAGAGAAGCTGAATGTCCGATCGGAAAGACCCTCTCTAACCCAACCCCCAGCTCCCCAGGGGCTTTGCAGCAGGGACACAGCACCTGGCCACTTCTGCTTTGACCAGGGAAACATACACATATATGAAAAATCTGCGGCGCCCCTTCCTCTCCTCATGGAGAATGAATCTAAGAGCCCAGCAATCACTGGCGGCTGATCTTAAATCCCAAGAAACCCACCATGCACTCTTATTTTCATAGTGCATTTCCTGAAAACCTAAGCTTGTGCCAGTTCTTCCGAGCTCTAAGGACAACCCACTTTTCTATCCATTCTCTTCCACCTGCCAGTATAAGACATTTGGAAACATATTCCAATGCCTTTAGGAGATACAGCTTTCATGGTTGGGGGGCTGAGGTGGGGGGGGAGAGAAGGTAAGAGGGAACCATTGCACACACGTCTTCAGGACTTTGCAACAGAAATCATCCCAATGGCCAGACCTGGGTTCATGCCTTTTCGCTGCAAGCTGTGCCCCCAGGCCCCCAACTCCCCATTCTAAAGGGAGCTCGGAGAAAACCCCACAGGTGACTGGGAAAGCAGAATGTAGCTCCCTCTAGCGGCCGATGGTTGGTAGCTGCGGCACTTGCTCAGCTAAGCTTCCCCCAAATGATCTTGAGCAAGTCAGCTCCTTTCCTTGCAAGTTTTGTTTTCTTCACTAATCAGAGGAGAAATTAAAATAATCTACTTCACATCATAAATGTCCACCGTAGTTATTAAGGTTGTCAAGCTGGTTGTTTATGACTGCAATCAAGCTTTGCTAATTTTCTGTGGCAAACAGCTGGTGCAGAATAAAAACAGGAAAGGTGGGGCCTTTGAGCCTGAGTGTTGATGTTTAGGCTGGTTGCCCTGGTGATGGTGCGATTGGTTTTTGGGGTGATTTGTCTAGATTAAGATTCAGGTCCTTTGCATTCTTCATTTTTCAAATGACTTCCTCAGGTAGCAATTGTTAGCATCAAGTGGCTGATGAACTCCATTTTCTTATATAGATCGTTGTTTATTACTAATTTTAACTTGAGTTTTCTCTTTGCTTTCTTTTCTTGGCTGTAGAAATTAAAAAGAGAAAGAAGGTGCTGTCCTGGCCTTTTCTGATGAGGAGACTCCCACAACTGAAAGCATCTCTGTTTGACCAGCCCTTGTCTGTTCTCTGTGATGATGATACACTCCCCAGGCCCATCCAGGTAGGCAAGTGCTCACATCCTGCCAGGTGGGAGAAGTCCTGGGAAATTTTGTTGGGGGTCTAGCTCTAGTTTTGCCCATTTTGGGAAATGTCATTGCACACACCCGTGCACAAAGGAGAATCCCAGGGAGCTGGATTCTAGAACCAGTTGTATTGACCAATAAGCTGAAATCGATGGCCTCGCCATCCTCAGACTCCAAAAAGCTCAGAAGCCTGGAAATGTGTAGCTTCTAAGAAATCAACAGAGGTTGGGTGTAGCGTGAATGATCAGAATTCAAGGTTTGTGTTCAATGATCTGAAAGAAGGGAACCTGGACTAATGCCATAATTTACCTTCCACCTCTTGGAGAAATGATAGGGCTATGAAGGACAGTTTCCACTGAACTGAAAGGCAAATGGGGCATTGCTGGTCTCTTGTGAAGACTGGGTATAATGGAGTGCTAACCTGATGGGGAGGCTGCTTTAGGACAGGTGTTAGCTCCTTTACCGTCAAACAGGGTTAACCATGTCCTTGTCCTACACCTGTTTCCTGTAGGATATTCTCACTATTCTGTGCCTTAAGGGCCCTTCCACTGAAGGGATATTCAGAAAAGCAGCCAACGAGAAAGCCCGTAAAGAACTAAAGGAAGAGCTCAATGCAGGAGGCACAGTAGATCTGAAAAGTCTTCCCGTGCACCTGCTGGCTGCTGTCCTCAAGGTGAGTTGTCAGCCCCATGCACATGACTTATCAGTGGACTAAGACACGAGACCCAGGAAAACAAAATCATTATTGACTCTACACATCAATAAACCCATCTTGAAGGGTGTTTTGTTTTTTTTCTTTTTTAAGTCAAGGCTTTTACTCATTTACATAAGCATGTGTTTCTGGGGTCTTGCATTCCAACATGAAGGGCCCCCCAACATTTGATGAAAAGGAACTTGATAGTCCCATGCCCCCCGGTGGTGCCATTCTGTGCCTGGCCTTAGGAAGTTTCTGAGAGAGAGAGATATCCCCAGAGGATCAAATGCAGGGAGGAAGGGGTTGAGCCTGGAGCAGGAGGAGCCCGGAGTGCCTGGAGGCAGCAGAGGGAAGATGAAGGCACCAGCCCGTCACACACCCCAGAGGCCGACACTTCCCTCTCGCCCCCAGGACTTCCTGAGGGGCATCCCCCAGAGGCTGCTCTCCTGTGACCTGTTCGAGGAGTGGATGGACGCCCTGCAGAAGCACAGCGAGGATGACAGGATCGAGGCCCTGAAGCAGTAAGTAGCCAGGGGACCCCGGGTGGAGGCCCACGGCCACCCTGTTGGGTCCTCACATACCTGTCAAAGCGTTTCGCCAAAAAAAGGGCATGTTTAGGAAATCTGAGGGAAATTGTTCACCTGCTCCCAGGACAGAAACAGGAGGTACCGCTGATTTCCAGGAGGTACCCCCTGGACATGAAAAAAAAGAAGCATTTGCCAAGAGAAAGTACTTGTTAGAAAGGAAGAAGTATACTTTGGGGGTCTCAAATCCCAAGAGGTGGGGGCAGCAAAAGGCATAAGTAATCAAAATAAAGGAGACAAAAAAGTAGGTGAAAGGCTCAAAATAGACAAAGCAGCCACATGTGGGGTGTGGTTTCCTTAACCGGCAGAGGCTGCCGTTGTGCAGAGGAGAATCTTCCCTGAAGCTCAGCGCAGCTGTAGGGAAGGGGCTGCCTTTCACACAGTCTCTCGTAGCCTCAGAAATGACCAAAGCGAGGGCCCATGAAAGCGATTTCTCGCGGCAGCAGACACCTGTAAACCTGGGGGTGACCTCTTAGAGACGAATCTTAAATGCCAACTTGAAAATTTCATCATGCTCGCCAAATCCTGTAGAGCTGTGTAGGGGTCACAGTTGTTCCACATCATATGTGGGACAAATGTTTGTAGAATTGAAGACACTCGTGTCTGTTCCTCAATAAGATTTTGCAATAAGTTTCTACTTCGAGCCATCAACGCTTTCCTAATAGTAGCTTCTTAGGAGAAGCGAAAATGACCCCGTCAACCCTTCAGTGTTAGATCCTGTGAGACTTCCCAGAGCGAGTTGTTATTGGATCTGGCCCTGCCGACTTCTGCCTTTCCCACAGTAGTGACCCTGGCCTTACAGACATCTGTGCTCCGTAAAGCTTTCCCAGAAGGCTATAGAAGGGTGTCGTCTGCACGTGATAAGCACATTTCACAAAAAGGCGACTGGTTTTTGCCACCTCCCCCCAAAAGGCCCCACCCCAAAGAAAAGATGGAGGCAGCTGCATGTACAGCATCCGAAACAGCAAGTCACCTGGCCGAGTGATTGCAGCTGAATGATGCTCACAAGGCTGCAGTCGCTGCAGTCCAGTGCAGAGCCACCGCGTCGCGGTTCGAGACGCATGCGCACAGTACAGGCTGCCCGTGTCCTGGCGTGTCCCGGGGTCCAGGCCCCCAGACCGCGTCAGCTGCCCCTGGCGGGTCTGAATGGATGTTGCGCAATGCTCCTGTGCCAACCAACGCACCTCCCTCGTGTTAGCGGAGGACAGACTGCCCAGGCAGAACCCCGACGCTGTGGGCCATGAGGGCCTTCCGAGCCTGACTCTAAACTTGAACTTGATTCTAGGGTTGCGGACCAGCTGCCCCGGCCCAACCTCCTGCTGCTCAGGCCCCTGCTCTTGGTGCTGTACTTGGTCAGCAAGAACTCCGAGACCAGCAAGATGGACGCCAGCAACCTGGCCATCTGTGTGGGGCCCAGCATGCTGACCCGCCGCGATGCCCAGAGCCTGTCCTTCAAGGCCCAGATGGTCCTGAACGACGAGGTCTGCTCCTGTCTCTTGCTCCTGTCTCTTTCCCGACACATCATCTCACCCACGTCAGCAAGCCAAGCCCAGGGATGTCAGGGATGTTGCCTAAGTGCCCTCCTGACAGCAAAAGGGGGTGCAGCGCCCTCTGGCTGCAGCGCACTCTGTGACGGGGCAGGCTGGCCCTGACCGGGCCCTAGGAGGCGGCCGCTGCCCCGTCTGCGCTCTCCCTCCTCTTTTTTCCCTTTTGTGCACTGAATTGTGCGTGGCCGTGCTGCCAGCGTGGGAAGCGCTTACCTTATTGAAACTTTTCGTTCCTTTAAAGACTTTTTTGAACTCTCAGAGAGAGAAACCTGCAGCTCTCAACAGTGACCTGAACATATGGGAGTGTGCATGACCGTCCCCGGGGTCTGTCTCTCCAGGCTCCTTTCGGCACCTCCCGAAATGTGACCCCACTCTGTCTCCTTCCTTTCCCCACTCACCCTAAAATTCTAATAAAGATGTGTGTAGCTCACAGCCTGCTCCGTCCTCCTCACAGGTTAAGGCGCTGGTAGAATTCCTCATCGATAACTGCCTTGAAATATTTGGGGATAACCTTCCGGCACACTCCAGCATCGCCTCTGACGACTCCCTGGAACACACCGACAGTTCAGGTAGGGACTGTGCTGCCGATGGCACGCAGAGGCGTCCCTGCCCGCCCCCCACCCACGCCGGGGGTGTCAGGGGCCTCTGCTATTTGGAGCATCGGGCAACCTCACAAATCACCAAATCTGGGTAGACTCAGGCCCGCGGGGCCCCTGTCCAACATGAACACTTCGCTCTGCCACCCCTCTCTTCAGCCCGAGGACGCACAGCTTCTTGTGCTGAATCCTGCAGGGCCGGTGTGGCCCCGGGCCCACCGCGGCCAGCGGGCACTTGAGCGAGCCCCTTGTGGTTCTGTGGGATGGAGTGTGGAGATGGACTCCAGGAGTAAGACACCCACGGGATCCATCTGTAAACTGAAGGTTTTCTTTCTCTTTCATTCTCACATTTCCCATTCATACTGCACCTCAAACGAACTGATTTGAAAAGAAATACAACTTGAATGTGGCGAATTTACCTAACAAGCCCCAGAGTTCCTTCACAAGACCACCTCATGTCCGCACTGATGGAGTTGGGGGTGATGCGAAAGTTTATTTCTAAAAGAAACTGCACAGGAAGCTCAAGCTTCCTGTGCATAAATAAATAAATCTTAAAAAAAAAAAAAAGATGCTCAAACTGTCTCTTCTGTCCCCCAGATGTGTCCACCCTGCAGAACGACTCAGCCTACGACAGCAACGACCCCGATGCGGAGGTCATCTCCCCCAGCAGGGAGCCCCAGGAGGCCGGGGAGCCCCAGGGCCTACCGCAGATGTGGGAGCTGAGCCCGGAGCCCGCGGCCAGTGCAGCGACCCAGCTCAGGCACGACCTCAGCCCCCCAGACAGGACCTACTCCGAGCCCAGCGTGTGGTCCCCCCTGGAGTGTCTGGAGGGTAGGGACCCGGCCCCCACGCTCCCCAGCAGCGAGGCTGACCCCACCGTGGCCCCAGCAGGCTCTGGGTCTAAAAGCGAAGAAGCGGAAGACCCTTTCCCGGAGGATGTGTTTCCTGCCAGCGACGGCAGACCCCAGGGGCCACCCGGCCTGAGAGGCAAGACTGTGACTCAGGGACCGGGGTCCCCCTGCGGCCTGGCGCCCAAAGGCCCCTGCAGCAGTTCTCTGGACACCTCTTCTGAAAGCTCGCCCTTGCCTTCTCCTTCCAGTCCCAGAAGGACTCTCTTCTCCCGACACCGGTCCTTCACCAAGGGCGAGAAGAGTAAGCCCAACAGAGAAATCAAGAAACACTCCATGTCGTTCTCCTTTGCCCCTCACAAGAGAGGGCTGGCCAAGACCCCCAGCCTTGGCTCTGTGAAATCCAAAGGCTTCTCAGGGGATCAGGTCAGCAGGGTTCTCAAAAGGGAAAGCCAGCTGGCTGGCAGGGTCATTCAGGAAGGACCTGAGAGCTACAGCCACCCAGGTCTGGACTTCAGCCCCAGGCCCTGCGCCCTCTCCACAGAGGACGTCTTCCGGCTGGTGGATGAGAGGAACCCTGGAAGCCCCCCCTCTTACCAGGAGGCCATCCGGTGCCAGGCCCCCGAGCTCACAGCTTGCGGGGGCCAGACCGTGGACAGCATGCGAGCCAGGATGCTCAGCCTGGACGCCAGGCCATCGCCAGCTCTACCCAGTCTCCCCGGAGGGGCATCAAGGACTCTGTGCGGGCAGGAGCCACTTGGCGGGCCTGGGGCTGAGAGCTGGGAACAGCGGGGGGCCGTCTGTGCGTCCGCGGACCCCACGGGTCAGGCAGCTGTCACAGGGAGGCCTGAACTGCACCGGCTCAGAGCCCTGTCCGAGTCCAGACAGAAGAATAAGCAGGACGACCTGGTGCGGACCTGCAGTCAGCCCATCTTTGAGGCCCACCAGCTCCTGTGTGCCAGAGAATCCTATATCTAGGGCACCGCCCGCCTCACAGCGCAGAGAACAACCTCTAGACTGCTTTCCAGAAAGTCGAGAATAAGCTCCTTCAGAAGAGTGCTGAGCCCTCAGCAGAGGCGGCGACAGACCCAGCGGTGCTCAGGTGGAAGCTGCACCGAGCCCGCACCTGTGGCAGGTGTCAGCAGGTGTCCCCGGCAGGTGCCACGTGCTGCGTCTCCAGCTGTGTACAGACTGGGGACTTGTAAATGACCTTGCTGTTCTCTGCCTCTTGCTGAGCACTTTTCTGTTCGTTGGTGTTTACAGAATTTTTTCTTTTGCTGTTGCCTCAAGTGTCATGCCAATTTTCCACAAACTTTGTTCAGGAGAAAATGTTTAAATGTCTGTTCAAAGTGTCCCCTAATAAGCAGGGTTGTGATGCCCAATCACCACAGTCAGAAGAAAGATTGCACAGAAGAGAGATCAGAGTTTGGGGTCATAAGAAGCATGACAAGCTCTGTTGTTTGAATTTGCAGAAATGCTTCAATATGTCCTTTTAATCTAACTTTAAATTGGACTAGATTGGTGAAAAATGCATTTCATCATTACAGCACTTTGAGATTCCTTGTAGTCTAGCACTGTCTCCTCCACACGAGGGGAGGGAATGGCTTTAGTGTGCTGGGGGGGGGGGCGTCCAGTATCTCTCACTACAATAAATGCTTCCTTGTTCCAAAGTAAAAATGTCCCTTCTTGCTGGCATGTTGCTCCCTCCCCTGGGTTCACAGAAACCCATCAGCAAATCATTCCTGCATCGTCTCATTCCACAGCATATGCTCGGTGTATATTTATGCATCATTCTAGACTAATCGGCAGGCAGGGGTTGAATGTTTCGGAAGGGAAGACATGCTCTGCTTTCCAATAGTTTGCAAAAAACAAAAACCAAAAAAGGTTCCCATTTTTCAACAAATGGTCATCCAGAAAACCTGGTCTTTGTGAATGAAACTTTTCAGTACTTTTTTCAAAAAAAGATTAATTTGTGCATACAGAAATGGGGCACGGGCCAGAGGTGCAGGGGCAGCAAGAGGACTCACCAGAGTCAGAGCGGGGAGCAGAACAGGCAGATCGACGAAGTACACTGCTGAGGGGGGCAGCGGGCAAGACAGGAGCAGTCTACCATGCCCTGTGGGTCAGCTCCGGGGTGGGGGTCGAACTCCATTGAAGCAGCCACGGCTTCGCAGTGCAGGGCTCCAACCCGCTGTGCCACCAGGCAGGGCCCGCAGTACTTTTACAATTCCTATTTTTATGATGCTTGCTTTGCTTAGTTATTAACAAACGACGGATGGTAAGATCTTTGTTGCATGTTAGAGCTTTAATGCTCTGAGACGTACCCAGTCTGGCTGCCTGCTGGGACGCCCCAAGTCCAGGTTTCCTTCCTGCACCCACTGATGTCTTCACGCAGGTGTGTCACCGTCTCAGTGAGTCTTCCCTGACCCACGTGGAAGGTCCGTGTCAGCTGCTACCCCTGATAGCCAGCTTTGTTCCCTGCTTTATTGTTCTCTTTAGCTCTCATTATCTGATCTGCGTATATAGGTGCATTTCACCTCACTGTGTTCTCCTGGTCCTGCAGCATTTTGAATGTGCTCGCCCCTGAGCTTTGCCAATTGAAACATGGGTGTTTATTATTGAATATGATTTAATGTCATTTTTCTTCTAGACCTGTCATTAGTGACCTCAAAATGAAGTGATCAGTCCTACAATCTTGATGAAGTTTTTATCTTTAGTATCACCATACACCTTTACCATAGGGTTACAACAATGCCTACTTCTGCTTCAGACCCGCAGCTACAAAGCACAGGAGGGATGCACCTTTCAACGGAATGGCATTTACTGGCACAGGCAGAAGTGTTTCATAAGTATGAATGCTATTAACCCTCATGACAATCCCTAAAAGGCCGATTCTATTATCCCATCTTGCAGGCTGGGAAACTGAGTTACAAAAGCAGAACAATGCAGAACCCGGTTCCCAGGCAGCACTCAGCCCATCTGGAGCAAATGCAAACAGAAATTGGAAGGACGGAACTGGAACATCTGAGACAGGGGACAGTGATTTTAAACAATATCGAAACAGAAGGAACAAAACAGTGCCCAGAAAAATAGAAGTGTTTTTGCTGAAATGTTGAGCTAACCACCAACTAGGGTAAGATACGGTTACAGGAAAATTAGGGAACAGAAAACCACCACCCCGAAACCTCCTGACCACCTAGTGCCTCAGCGTCCCCCGAGCAAGCACACTGGGCAACAGGCAGGGTAGCCTTCGGGGATGAGCATCCATCCTCCTGACTCGGGGTTCACCTACTGACTCGGGGTTCACCTACACTAACTACAAGATTTTAACATTTAATAAAACAAAAGCTTCATTCTTCAGAGCCAGGGGCTTGGCTAATTAGGAGCCCAGAGGCCTAAAAGCCCCCAAAAGCGCCCCACCCTGTTCCTGCAGGGGAGGGGTGCAGCGGGCGTGGGCTGTGGCACTGCCAGCAGGGTCCCAGGAAGAAAAGCTGGTGCGAAATTCGAGCTTGTCGGGCGGCGGCCCGGGCAGGGGACGGGGCGAGGCGGGGTGCTGGGGGGCCCAGGGTGGCACTTAACAGAGCTGGGTGCCTGGCGCCGCGCGGCCCCCGGGGACAACAGCCGGCGACGCCCACTACGGGGAGCGAGCACGTGGGCCGGAGAGAATGGCGCAGACACCAGCCCAGCCCCGGCACATGCCAGGGCGGGGCCGAGGACAGGCCCGAAGCGCGAGGGCCGCCGCCGCCGCCGCCGCCACGGCACCTGCCAGGACCGAGCGCCCCTAATGCGCAGGCGCCTCCGCTCGGGAGCGCGGGCGGGCGGAGCCAAGGGCCGGAAGTGCCCTGGGGGCGGGCCGCCTCGCGAAGCCCGCCCACCGGAACTACTTGGGAGCTCGGTCCACGCGGGTCTCGGCGTTGCTGGGCAACCGATGCGGGCCGGACTGGCGGGCTCCGAGCTCGCTGGAGCGAACCGAGCGCGGCGGCTCCCGCCTGCTGCCCCCGCTGCCTAGCGTCCCGCCGGCCGCCTCCCCGCTTGGCGGTCCCTGCGCCGGGGAATCCCTGTCCGTGGCACTGCTTACCCCTCCCCGCCTCCCGCCCCGCCTTGGCGCCCGCCTGCCTCAAAGCCCCGCTCTACCGACAGCGGGGCCCTGCGACCCCGATCGCCCCCCCCAGGTTGACCGACAGCCCCTCTCCGGCCATGAGCACCTACACCTATACCAGCCGGCCCCGGCCCCCGCCCTGCCCGC